TTTCACCAATCTAATCAATTTATTTGATAATTTTTTTTAAGTCTGACTCGGAGAAATTAGAAAATTATAAAAGTAACGTAAAAAATATAAGAATTTTTTTATTAAAATACAAAATGAATCAATTTCCTCTCGAAACAAATATTAATATTTTTAAAATGTTAACTTTCAAAGAACAAATTAAATTACATTTAATTTCAAGAAATTTCAAGATTATTTTTGAAACAATATGGTCAAAAAATATTTGCCATTATTATTTTACTAAACTCCAATATTTATTTATTGTTATGGAAAAACAGGATCAGGAAAATCATCTTTAGGAGCAAAATTATTTAATAATAATTTTTGTTATTATTCTTGGAATTATGATAACAAATTAAAAAATATTCTAAAACAAAATAAACAACAAGTTTTTCCTAAAATGTTGAGTGTTGAAAGAATTACAAACAATATTTTAATAAATATAAAGATATTAATTTTGTATATTTTGAAAGTTGGGTTTCAATTGATTATTATTCAAGTTTTTTTCCAGACAATATAAATTTTATTATTAATATAAAGGAAATTATAAAATTAAACCATTTAAACCAAAATATTATTTCAAAAAGAGGAATGAAAAGGAATTATTGTTATTGATTAATAAGGAATTATTATAATTAAGTTTATTGTTTTTTTTCTTAAAAATTTATAGTAATTGATAAGACGTGAAAAAAAATATTAAATAATTTTAAATTATTTAAAATAAATTTTGTATATTGTCCTGGGTTAAAAATAATTAATTTATAATTATCTGAAGTGTCTGATAATTAATAAATAAAATTTGATGGAAAATATTTAATTAAAAAAACACCAATATATAAAATTTATAATCATCCACATTAATAATGCGCAAATCTAAAAGAATTCTTTTGAGTATATTATTTTAAAAACAAAGAGTTGTATATCAAGTTGTAAATCTTCATTTAATAATAATAGTGTAATTAATACACAGAGAGTAATAAAAATATAAAAGATTTTTGAAAACATTTTAAGATATGAGATTTGCTAAATTTTAAAAATTTTATTTGTAAAACGAATAAATCGTAAAGATTTTGGGTTGTGAACCCAAGATTTTATATTTGGAGTTTACAATTTAGTCTAGTATTAAACAAGTATTTTCATATATTTCTTACAAATTTAATTTGTTACATTTCAATTAGGAAATCAAATTTTATTGGTAAGTTATTGTTTTACAATGAATTACTAAAATAATATTAATTGAAATTGATATTCGTTATCATAAATAAATCAGAAAATATTAAACATGCATAATTTATTTTTTGGTTAATTATTTTTATTTAAATTAATATATAATATATTTATTTTAATTTGTTATATAAAAAAAATTATATTGAGCGATAATGTTTAAAGTTTCTACCAATAAAAAACATTAACTCTTTTATATTGAACCATTCACTACTCTTATTAGTAGTAAGCCACCCATTATCATTGTCTGTTTCATTTTCAAAATCAAACACTTGTATTTCATCATTTCTCACAGCTTTGACTTTAAATTCGGTCAAAATTTCTTTTTCTTGGTCTGGATTTTGTAATATGAGAGTAATAACATCTTTGAGTGTTGGACCTTCTTTTAGTAAGCCAGCTATTTCTGTATGAAATTCTGGCTTAAAAAATTTGAGATATTTGAAGCCTAGAGTATTTGAAGATGCTATTTTAAAGATGTTTTTTTTTGAATTTATTATCTTTGATAGATTTGAAAAAAAGTTTAATTTTTTTAATAATGAAGGAAGTCATATTATTTATATTTTTATTTTAGTTTGTTTTTGGAAATTTCACAAAGAAATTAGCTATTATATATAAATCTACAATCCTTTTATAATTTTATTTCACAATATAATTAATCCAAAATAAGAAATAAAATTTTATTGGTATGAATTTAGAATTTAATCGGGGGTTAAATTAATTTGGAAAGTAGATTCTTTGATTGATTCTTTGATAAAGAAATAAATTGAATTATTTTTATAAATTGTTTTTTCATTATAAAAGATTGATAAACTATTAATTTTTGGTCCTAAACTAATATAATTTAAAGATTTATCTTGTTTGTAACTAGCTTCATTTGTAATTATCGATAAGAAAAATCTTTATTCATTGCTTCTTTAATTGTAATTGGTTCATTATTTTTTAAAATTTGAATTCTTACAAGTGTATTTTTTTCTTCTTTAAGTTTTTTAAACATAATATTAAAATCACTATTTTTTGGTTAAATAATTTATAGATAAAAAAACAAGTAATTTTAGTTTCAGTCATTTTTTATAATAATTAAAATTTATACGTATAGGTTATATTTATATTAATTATTTATATTATATAAATTAAAAAAAAGATAAATTATATAAATATAATATAATGATTTTTAAATTTATTAACTCTTCCCGATGATCACTTGGACCAATTTTTCCGATAAAAGAAAAACAGTTTTGTTGGAGCATTGCCTGTACTAAGGTGCAGTAGGATAATATAGAATACGGTTTTTGTAGAGATCAACCATTTTTGCTATTGCGGGAACTTCTCTATATATTTAACATGCAAGCCGAAAGTGTCGTTATACAAGATAACTGGCAAGAGGTGGCACCCTTGTATATGAAATTTTGGTGGAGTAAGATACCTCTGTTGATGAAGTTATCTATGGCAAAACAGTGGGGAACAACAAACAAGCTTTTTCAACACTCTCATTTGGAAATTTTGAAGAAACCGCAACCGAAAACCCCCTCCATATTCTTGCTTATTTTGGATTTTTTTAGGGAATTTTTGCTAAACAAAAAGTGGGAAAATTGGCTTACCCCCTCCAAAAGATTTGCATTGTTTACCGATTTCAAATTGGGAACAGGAGTCACGAGGAATCACAGATTCGGCAGCTCGGGAACTCTAATTACGGCAGCAAGTGGCTTGAGATACGAGTCCTCGGATGGCGGCAGCACCTGGCTCGAGATACGAATTAGGACGGGCGATTGATGAATCAAACTGTGTCATGTGGAACAAGGATTGACGTTGACCGTTTGGAGATTTTTATAATAATTCTTGTAGGGCTAACTCTACCCCAAAGATATTTACATATAATACGGACTAAATCTAGAGTAGAGCTAAATTTAAGAGTATTATATAATTTTTCAGCCATAATATGGCTATATTATTTTGTTAGGGTTTTTTTCTTCTCTTTTGTTTTTTCTTTTTCGAAATATGTTTTTCTTTTTTTCTTTTTGGTGTTTTTTTTTGTGTTTTTTGTTGGTCGCTTTCTTTTTGCTTAATTTTTAAAACTTCCCTCTTTTATCTTATGCCCTTTGAGAAGAAAGAAGAATTAGAAGGGAAAGAAAAGATCCTGACATGGTATACAACAACCTGTTATAACTCTTGGAGGGTAACCTCATCGTTATGAAATTCAAAGCAAGTTTTGAATCCCGGGGATGACTAATAGTTGTTATAGCTAGTCGCGTTGGGCTTAGGCTTGTGAGCTTTTATTAGATAAAAACATTTAGTCTTATTGATGTATCACAGCATCATGTAGCAGTTTACTAAATTTGAATAAAAGCAGGATTGTTTAAAAAAATATATATATATAAATATAATATAATCTGATTTATTTTATTTATTTATTCAAAATGCCAAAAACACAGAAACCAAATTTTTATAAAATTTTAGGATTAACACGTAATGCAACACTTTAAAATATTAAACATGTATATAAAAAATTAGCTTTATTATATCATCCTGATAAAAATACAAAAAAATCTAATAAAGAACATAAAGAAGCTGAACAAAAATTTAGAGAAATTAAAGATACATATGAATATTTATTAAAAAATCACAAAGATAAGCCAAAGAAGAAAGCAACAAATAATAATAATAAAAAGAAAACTGAAAAAAATAAAGAAAAAAAAAAGATAATAATGACTGATGAGTTTAAAAATATATTTTCTGTAGCAGTATTAAAAACATTTTATGAAATATTAAACAAGAAATATTAAAATCTTTTACATTTACTAAATTTATAAAAACTTTTTTGTTCATCATCTAATTTATGCTTCTTATAAGTATTATAAGAAGCTATATGTTTATAAAATTTACAATCATTACAAAAATAATACCAATTGTTATTATCTTTAGATTTTTTAATTTTCAAATACCAATTATTCTCACATTCACAATTTTTTGAATAATAAATTTTGTTATTTGGTTGAAAAAGTGCAAAAAATTTAAAACAACCTAAATTAATAAAGAAATCAGAATAATAAAAATATTCTTCATTGGGATTTTGTGATAAAAAAAAGCTATTTAAAATTATAAGCTCCCAAAAACATAATGATTTGGTTTTTTTATTAATAAAAAATAAAAAGATATTTTTAAATTATAAAAATTTTCGTTGAGCTTGTTTTTCCAAATAAAACAATAATAATGAATAGTTATCATTAATAATATTTATCTTGTAATTATTATTTATATTAATGAATTTATTAATAAAATAATATTCGAAATAATTATGAAAATATCTATTTCATAATCATAAAGTATCAATATGTCATTTGGGGTGATATTTTTTTGAAGTGATTTCATGACAATATCCTTCAATTGCTTTCAAAAATATTTAATTACAGATTATTTCAATAATTTTATACATTATTTCATTGGGCAACATTTTTTTTTAATCTTCTGTTTCGATGCAAATATTACAAATAACCTTATTTATAAAATTTAAAAAAAATCCTTTTTGATAATCATCAATATTATTTTCATTTCTAATTTTTTTTCTGCTTCATTAATATTATTAATGAGATCTATTTTAAATAAAAATCCTAAAAAATTAAACCTTTGTGTATATTTTTTTTGTAAATCATCTTTTAAAAAAGAAGGCAAAGAAGAAACTTGAATTAATCAAGCAACAGATTCTAAAAAAGAAAGTTCCAAAAATTTTTTTTTTTTTTTTTTTTTTGGTGTTAAGGTGAGGCCTTGCTCATATCTTTATTAGGTAATTTATATAAGTAATT